TTTTCCCGTGTTATTTGAACCCACTGTCGCACCGTGATAATCCCTGTGGAGAGGGTTCGTGACCATCGGCGCAAACGCGTCCTCCCAGCCATCCTCTTGCTTCCTAGTCCACCCCCAGCCCGCTGGTGTGCTAGCCGTGCATTTTCCCTTAGTCCCCGATCCGCCGGTGTAGAACTCGAAGCTCAATTCTTCTCTCTGCTCTGGCGTTGTGGTCAATGGAAGGGTTGGCCCTTCCTCTAGCAGTTCCTGAAGGATGGTGTTATACTGCTCCTTAGACTGCGTAGAGGGCTGCTTCATATTAAGTGGGATAGGACGAGGTGGCTTGGACTGTCTAGCAACTAGCTTAATCTGGAATTCAGTGACCAGCAGATATCCGCGAGGGAAAGCCTGCGTACAGCTTAGACTTACAGCTTCTGATGGAATTGATCCACTGGTTTCTCGTGAAGGTGAGATCTAGTCTTTGGAGCCCAACTGGATCTACTTGCAGTGTGGTCTGAGGAGGGGGAAGTAGCTTTTGGCACTCCAAGTAACTTCTGATCTTAGCTGCTATAGCAATGGAAGGTTATCCCATGTCGTGATGAAGCTTGTCATAGACCTGTTGCAGGATTAAGGGTTCCAAGAGCAATTGCTACCAGTCTATGGGCGGGCAGCTATATCCCTGTATGTGATTTGGTGCTTCATGCTTGAGGTTCTAAAGGAGGCGACTTCAACCAAGTCATTTAGCTTCATCCACTGTATGCAAAGGGATCTATTGGAACTGACGTTGTGGTCAATGGCTCTTCTTCCCTTACCATACACAAATGGGCCCAATACTCCTTCATCATTTGGGTGCCTACCTTGAAACCTTACATTAAAACCCCCAGTGATTTACACCGGTTCTGGTTGTGGTATTTTGGAAACATGTGCTTCAATCTGATCCCAAAAAGGCCGCCTTATTTCCTCCAGGTCAAGTCTTGAATGGGGTGCATATGTACCAATAAGATTGACATTGCTGCCTTTCTTTTTCAATGTGACGTGGATGATTCTACGGGAGAGCTGAATGATGTCAAGAAGGTACGGTCTAAGCTTGGGGGCTATAATGACTCCCAATCCTGCATTTTCTCCTTGTGATTGCCCGACAACACAACCATCTTAATTATAGGAGTAGCATGATGAGGACTTGGATTCACATAAAAACAAGATGCCCAAGTGGTGTTCCCTCATCATCTGAATGGAGTTCTTGAGCTTCATGGTGTCAGCAAATCCCTGAACATTAAGAGATCCCATTCTAAATTTACTTCCACAATCCATAGGCGTTGTGGTCGGATAGTTGGAAGGGATTCCTTGCTTCTTCCTCTTGTGGTGTTCTTGCCAGTAAGCGGTCTGCTTGAACCATTTAGCCCTAGACTGACCGGCTGTTTGGGGAGGAAAGGAGGCCGCTGGATGGGATCCCACCCCACTACCGCATTCCTGTATGTAGTGCCTACGCCACCTACGATAGGCCCTCCTAAGGAGCCTTCTCCTAGGTGCGCCCCTAGACACTACTTGAGCCACCTTGAGCCTCCTTTGCTTGGGGACACTCTTTGTATGCTCTTAAAGGAGCACCCGGCGAGCCTCTAGGAGGCTGTGTTCGGCATATAAATTCTGACTTCAATTCCTGAATTTTTGACTGCCTCTTAGAGAGTCTCTTCTTGTAGTGTGAATAATGACCATTATTATGGCGACTCTAGCCCTTCTACCTGTCCTGGAGATGGCCTTGGCATGCTTGGCAGTGCCCAAAAACTGCGTTGTGGTTAAAGTGGGGGGCTGAAAATTCAAATCTTCAACTGGGGTTGATTGTCTACAATTGAGCAGGAACTCCTCTGAGTATTGTATCTGAGAATTATCTGACCTACTTTGAAGAGGAATGGCTTGACAACGGTTGATTTGAACAAAAGCTGCAATGTTGCCATCATACCTGTTGAGTCTGAGTGTAGTATTGCCATTTTGAATGTGCATGATTTTATTCAAACAAGCTTGAGTCACAAGTGCAAATCCCTCTACATCAGGGGAAAGGGGAAGGGGCATGTTACAGAGACCTGCATTGAGAGCACTGCTGCAAAAGGCGTTGTGTTTCAAGCTGCCACTTCCTTCAGAAATTTCAAATGGGTGGCTGAAGCTTGAACTTAAGAGACCACTTGATGGAGCTGCAACAGAACATAAGATTTCAAATGGTCTGTGAGCTGCACATCCTGGACCTCAAAGAGTGACCCTTCTGCCCTCCATGTAACTGTACAGGGAGGCGTTTTGGTCTGAAAGGGAAAATCAAACTACACCAGCAAACTCTTCAAGATTTTGCAGCTGTGGCTTTTGGCTTGACCGGTGCTTGAGCTGGAGGTGGCATGTCCGCCTTGGCCTTGAGATCTGCAGCAATCGTGGGTGGTGGCTTCCCCTGGATTGTTGCCACTGAGTACTCAGTGTACTCTCCGATTTTCTCAGCGGTGGCTCCGAACTTGTCGGCCATCTCGTCCCAGGAAAAGTAAATGCCATCCACAACGCAGAATTGGAGGTCGAAAGGATACGATTCATAGTAGCTGCTGTGAATAGCCGCCTGTGACCAGTGCCGCTTTCCCCTGCCCACCTGCATGCCCTTTCCAGACATTTGGGCCATCGCCTTCGCTGCTGTTGCCGCCTTGGAGTCCATGAGATCGAGCTCATACTGTGCCCCCTTGTAGAGAGTTTTATGCAAAAACCAATCAGCGCAATTTCGGGCAGAATCAACGTTTGCTTCATCACGATGACTGCGTGGTGGTAAAGTAACTGCCAAGCTCAGAGCACAGTTGAGTTGCATTCAACTGAAAACTGCAAGTGCTGCTGTTGCTGGTGCTATTCTTTCCTGTGATGAAGCAGGTCCCAGAAGACAATCTTCCCTTACTGTTTTGGGAAATGCATAACGGGTGTTGAAACAAGAGATTGGAAGCTGTAGGTTTGGTCCAAAACCTTCCAGCGTCGGCCACAAACAGTTCATCTGTACTGAAAAAACGCCTTTTCAGGTGAGGTATCAAGTCGTTAGCAGCAAGTGAAATAAGTTCAGCAAAGGACGACATAGGTTGCAGGTTCCTCTGCTCTGGCACATGCTCTCGCTTCTGCAGCCGGCGTCCGCTTGCGTCTGTCAAGCTCTGCAGCCCTCATCGCCTACTGCCGTAGTAGTCTTGTCCGCTTTTGTTTTCGTTTTTGCGCTGAAAACCAACCAAAAAAAAGGACGACATACATACCTTGAAGTGATTTTTCCCTGAACTTCCACGATATGAGAAGCACAGAAGATGGCAACACCACCATGCAGCAAGACAACAGCTCCTCACACATGGACAGCGCTGAACCACAATCAGATGTCGAACAGCAGGGCCTGTCAGATCCAAAGACCTCTTTCATACAGAGGTAGTGCGAACCAGAAGTAGGTTGCCTGAATCTATCGTGTGCTGAAACATGGCTGATCTCTCTCCTGCTGAAATCATCAAATCAGCTTGTTTCATCAAACATGTGGTGCAGCGAACCCTTATCAAAGCGTTCATGCTTAAGCAAGTCAAGCATCTAGCCTAGACCTTAGCCCCTTGCTGTTTTTGGACAAGCAAGATGAGACGTATCCTCCATCAGATAGGCAAGTTAAGAGATGCTTGTGCAATTTGTTACAGTTTCAATTTCTGCGTATACCTGAGAATACACGTCTGCACGATGCCACGCCTGCCTTTGCCTACCCTGTCAACAAGAAGGAGGAAGGGCAGACATCGAGCTTGCGTGCCACGCCGCCACGATCTCGGAGCTTGCACTTCGGGAAAATTCATGGATTTGTGGTTCCACAAACGCAGCGGAGCAGCAAAGGTTTTTTTGGGGGAGCGCTTGAGAGACAAATGCTTCAGTCCATGTGGACTTTAGATGATTGCGAACCTTGAACAGCCACGTTTTCAAGAACCGCACGTCCTACTTGGTTCAAGAAAGTAATGTAATGACGGTCCAGGGCAGAATCATGAGAGGCAATGCTGGTGACAGGGACTTGTAACTCTGTCAGTGCTGCTTGATCTTCAGAACACATCAGAACACAAATTCGACAAAGCTATGCCTGTGCCGAAGCCGACCATGTCGTCCATGGTGCAAGAAGAATCCCTGCCTGAGACCGTGCACAAGGCACCGGCCGGTGCTGCGTGCAAATGTTTGACTGCGTGCCAATTACGAACCTACATAATCGTCTGGGGTCCATGTATCTTCGCGCGCTATCGAGCACTCGGCAAAATGTGTGGAGGGCATATCAGCAGGACATTTTTTTGCGCACACCATCGACAAGTATTCTCTAGATATACATTGTTACATATATGTATATATATATATATGTCGTATATATATATACATTGTATTGCAATATCTGATATGGTGATTGGTGGGAAGATTTTCTAAACCGTAAGGTCTTCGTCCCCAGATGAATTCTTTTCAACACGTTGCCCTCTAATGGGGCAAGAGCAGGTTGGGGAATGAGGCAGATCTGAACTAGGACCATCTGACATGGTGCGTGCAACTCAAACACAGAACTGGCACAGCAGGTTCTCGAAATGCAGCATGAGGAGCTGTCCCCTGGCCTCCATGATTTCTGTCTTGGCACATTGGTACTGTGTGCACGATGCAAGCTGAGGTTGGCACGCCTGGACGATTGGCTGCAGAGAGCGAGCGACACAATCTGCAGGACAGAGCTGCGATTGCTTACCAGGTATCCTACGGGCACGATGGGGGAAGATGCTTTGATGTGGAGTGAACGGCCTCCAATTCGCGCTGTACTTGTGCGTATGCTGTGCAGATTCCGCCATAAAAATTACCTTGTGGACTTGTTGTGGTTATCTTTCACGCTGTATGAAGATTCGATTCTGCGACTCACATGCCCACGCCTCTTTTTTTGTGTGCGAAGCCAAAGGCAGGCTCTCACGTCCCTTAGATAAGCATCCTGTAGCAGCTATTAGCATAAACCGAAAGAAGCGTGAATGATTTTGCCCTTTCAGGCGGGAACCGGAGATGACGTTGCAAACGTCCAGTGCCTCCATCCAGACTCGGTCCTCTCCTGGTGCTGGTGCTGAGAAACACCTTCCAAATGAGAGCCTTGGACAACAAGTGGAACCACAGCATTTGTCTTTGCTGGGAGCCTTACTGAATCTCAACCCGTTCCGATGACCAAATGGTTTCTGATGGACACTACTTGGAATGGAAGCCTTGAATGTTTCGCTAGCTGGAGCCTCCATCAGTTTTTACATAGAGAACTTCTGTCCAGGTTGCCCCGGCAGTTGTCGCGCACAAAAACCCTGAGACTAAAAGAGGCTGGACATGCAATGAGAACTATTCGATGTTCTGCCCAGATTTATTTGTGCTGTTCGCTGGCTCGCCTCTAGCAGGCTGGCGACGAAGGTCTGGACAGCTACGATCTGGCACGGCGCCAGGGCTCGAAGGTGGATATGTTCAAAAAGATGAAGTCCGAGGAGGTGCCCTATGCATCCTCATGCGGCAGGGGGGTTGTCAGTGCTTTGTTTAGGAAGTAACGAAAGTGTTTTGTCGCGATAAGAACATTCTCGTTATTTCCTAAACTCAGTGCTCCTTGATTTTTTGTGGCTCCGGGATCACACAAGGCTGACATGAACTTGTCGCACATTGGTCAAGTTGACCAACAGCTTATGGGGTTAAAGGGAAATCGAGCAAGCACCTGTGTGAGCTGAGCAGATACAAAGGCTGGAATCCTGTCATTACAGTGCTTTTCAAGCCGGCAATGTGGCCACCGATGCAAGTGACTTTGACAGTCTGATGTGTCACTGCATTCGCTAGGTCCCGCTAGGTTCTACAGTGTCTTGAACGGATGGAGTGTGCTCAGGCTGCAGCCTCACTTCGGCAGTCTGTAAGTTTACCCTGTGCCCTCGAATCTAGTTGCCACAGTATGATTATTGTAAACCCTTCCGTTCCTAATCTGTGGAGGCAAGCCTGGCAAAATCAGAGGAGCAGCCCACACAATGTGGCGTGGTGCAAGAGTGGTGTGCCTGGATAGTCAAGTCGCACGTTTGCGAAGTCTTCTTTGCACTGATGATTGTCAGCAACTCTGCCTACCTTGGTGTGCAGCTGGAATGGAGTTCCCAGAACCGAGATAGGACGACGCCATTGCATTCTGAGTCTCAGTCTTGTGCTTGTCAGATCGGACGTGTGGCTTTTGTTTACCAGGACTGCCGAGCAACAAAATGTGTTTGTAGTCATCAACACAGTTTATGCCGTGATTTTCCTGGTGGAGGCGGGCTGCGGTGCTGCCAGATTTCAGCTTTTCAATGTGATGATTCACAGTATGCTATGCACTGGTCGAAAGCAGATAGACATCCTTCGAAGCTTCTAGGATGCTTAAATCTGCTTCGCTCGCAGGTTTGCTTGCGCTTGGTGGCCAGTGGGCCTGGCGCATACTTTCTGGCTTCTGGCTGGGCCTGGAATTGGCTGGATGTCTTTGTCGTGCTGCTTGGATGCGTTGCTGCATGTCTTGCGATTTGATCTTCTTGGGCTGCACTCTTGCAGAATTTCCCTCACCCTCGTTCATATGCTTGGATTTTCCATGGTCTGTTCTGGCCCACATAAGAAACTGATGAGTTCTTAATTTGGCAGAGGACGTCAACTTGGGTGGAGCTTGGCCTTGGCTTTTTCGAAGTTGATGGGAATGAGGGTGGCATGTCGAACAGCAATCTTCGATTGCTCCGTGTGATCAAGGCCCTGCTGGTGTTGTCACATGCAGAGCATCGGCCTTCGTCAGGGTACGTCCTGTTGCTACGCCAGGTCACCCGACTGGCACGTGTCCTGCGCGTGCTTCGCGTTGTTCAGTTCGTACGGCCACTGCGGACGCTGATGCACTGTCAGCAAGCTCAGCTCTTTTGGTGTCTTTTGCTTACACTCCGCTGCTCTTGCATATCTTTTAAGTATGGAGATTACCACCTTTGATTCTCATTCAGACAATGTCTTGATGGACACAAGCCGACATGAAGTGTGATATTGCCGCAGCAATGCTGCAGTACTGTGTCAGAAAGAGAAGCCGTTGATGGCTTAGGCCTAGTGGATACAACGAAGTCCTTCGTTTGGTCACTGATGCTGCTCAGCTTGTTTGGTTTACTTATGAAGCAAGCTTCCCCCTTCCTGCTCTTTCAGTTGTGATGCTATTGTCGCTCAGCAGCAATTCTGCCATTCACACAAAACGTGCAATGTCGTGGTGTCAAGGCTTCTGGTGCTGATGATGTACGTCTTTGGCCTGCTCTTCACCGATGCAGCAATTGACCACATCCGGGTACATGCGTCCGGCAGCGTCGATCCGGACCTGGACCGTTTCTTCGGAACAGTGCAGCCTTGGCTGCACGGTTTCTAGTCACATCCAAGCAACACCACGAAGACCAGAGTACTGGAAGAGAGTTGCGGCAGCAGAGTGCAGTGCGTAGTGAGAGAGAGAGAGAGAGCAATGCGATCTTCCACCCGCAGCAGAAGAAGAACAATGCGATCAACAGAAGGAAGGTCTGTCCAGAGCTTCCAAGCAATATATTTTTTCTTGTAGAAGATGATGCGCTGAGAGAAACGGACGCCTCTGCAAGCTGTGAAGCAAGAACAGGGAGTCAGGTTCAGGCGATTCTGCCAACTATGAAAATTTGTTGATTAAATGAAAAAATGCAACGAGATGCTGAAGCTGATGGATCCAAAAGCAGAACCATGTGCACATTGCTGCTGCATGTAGGAACTTGTGCCACATGTATTCCTGCAAAAGACCCCTGCTCAGTCTGAAAATTGTCTTACCCTTTATGTTGCATATCGTTGCACATGCTCTTGCCAGAAACACATGTGCTGTTCAAACTGCTGGAACTACCATTCTTGTGTGGCTATCATGCTTGGCACTTTGCATGAAACCTGTAGAACACAATGAAGGGACTCTTTCATGCATCATACGCGATGGAGTATCTGAGGGCAAAAAACTTATCCTTTTGTCTTTTCTGCTCTCTCCTTGTTCGCTTTGCCATTCCTGCTCCTTTCTTGATCTTCAATCACTCTGCTCCATCTCAGTTGTAAATACACGCAGTTTAGCAGTACAAAGTCGGTTGTCACATGTCTGTAGTTGAGAGCTT